ATATATATATATATATTATATATATAAAGAAATATAGTTTTAAAGTGTGCTATATTTATGGAATAATGTGCTCAATATCAGGGATAGAGGATATATAAATATAAAAGTGAACATTGAAGTCAACACTCAGAGGTGACAGACTGTTTCATGTATATATACACACACACACACACACACACACACATATATATACACATATATATATATATATATATATATATATATATATATATATATATATATATTCACCTTCATCTCTGATGTGCACCAATAGCTTAAAAGTAGATTCTTCACCAACTGATGCCAAATCAGCATGGTTTCAATCCTGGTGAAGTAAATTGTCTTTTTAATTTTGATAAACTGTAATACAGTTAAACAGTCTGTCTGTGAATGACAATATATGCACCTGAAAATTACTTTCCATTGAGCACTATGGAGAGAAAGCACAAATTTGTAAACAGTGACTACTACTGCTAATGCAAGCCTCTTCTATTGAATTGAGCCCTCTCAGTTATTGGCGTGTTTGTTTAAAAAATAAATACAATAAAATTCACCATCCTCTCTGCCATGCGCTAATAGCTTAGGAGTAGATTCTCTAACTGATGCCAAATCAGCTGGGTTTCAATCCCAGCTGGAAGCAATTTGATGTCTAGCCACACTGGTGAGCTGTGATAGAGTAAAACAGTCTGCCTGTAGATCACACACACACAATAAATAATATATATATATATATATATATATATATATATATAAGTTATTGAAAACATCACTCAAAAGTAGAGCTTAATAAATTAGTCTTGCAAATCATTATAAATATAATGGGTTCAATCTTCCTGGGCATATATCCTTGTGCCAGAGTAACCTAAATTAGTAAATATATAAATATATATATATATATATATATATATATATATATATATATATATATTAAAGGTAATTAATTCATTGGTATATAATCCAAGTGGATCCTAGTAATATAAAATATTAAAACTGATTCACAAAAAGAGCTCAATGTATTTATTATTACAGACCAGAAAAATAATCACTAGAATCCAAAATCACCTGATATGAGGTGATTCTGGATTTTATTTAATAATAACATATATATATATATATATATATATATATATATATATATATATAATATTAATATTTTAACTGATTCTTATTACTAAATAATAATTTACTATTAACATATAATTCAATTGCAACTGTATATTTTAAGGCCTTTAAAAGACTTGAATATCTGTAATACTTTAACAATTTCAATTCTGTGATTAAATATTTTAAATTAATTTTAGGATAATCATTTCTTCATTTTATAATTGTTTTTTACCCCAACTTTCTAGGTTGAATTCTCTTTGACCATTACAATAGGAATAAAATAGTAACTGCTGACAAGATTTAAACTTGGATCCTATGTCCTAAAAGCTTATCTTTCAGTCACAAAAGTCTATAATTCGCCACATGGGACACAAATATACAGTTATATGGGCAATGCTTTATTGCTGAAATTAACATTTGTAAGTTACAATTTAAAATCATTGTGGCTATTACTCCACCTTTCCTGCCAATGGACTTAGCTTAATGTCACTAGGTAGTGTTTTGTTCAGCACTATAGATAAAAAAAAAAAAAATTTACAATTCTGTACAAACCATGGCTCCAAAATTAAATGTGGTTTCTGGAACCTGATTGGATATGACAAGTCATGTAATATGCTCTCTATGATATCGATGCAGTTGAACTCCAAATGACCTGGAAATAGGGCAGGGCTTGGGTTACTTAGTACATTGCCACATGGAACTCAGATAGAATTTGTGAGCTGGCCACCAACTCACCATTAGCCATAAAAACAGCTTGTTAGCGACAGTCAAGGGCCATACCTGAAACAGAACAGACAGATCTGAAACAGAACAGTAAGGACCAGATCTGCAATGACACAGTCAGCAACACCTAACCAGCTTCAACACGTTACCATGACACCATGTCAGAGATGATTTTCCTATATACAAAGCCATGGTGAAGTAAATCTTCTCAACACTCCTTGTTCACTGTCTTTTAAAAATATTGCTTTAGCACAAAATCAGTCACACATTTCATTAGCATGTGTTTCACAGACACATCGGCATACATATTTCTCCAAACTTTGCAGATTCACTTGCAATAAATCACATCGAATTATTAGTCTCTTCATGGCCACAACAAAAAACATTCATTTGCAATATTTAAATACATGTATCTGCTGTATAAATGTTGTTATCATATTTAGCTTGCTCGTCTTCCTTTTCTGCAAAGATCATTTTCTTTGTGTTGTTTATAATTTTGTATTGTAATTTGTGGGCATGACACTCAGATTTTATTTTTCCAACAAAAATCTGGGTGAGACTAACCCCAAAATCTCATGAGCTTCAGAGGACCAGCCATTAACAATGAAATTTTTGAGAGAGAAGTCTTCTTTTGTTTGGTTGTTTTTTAAATGCTTGTATTACTTTGCAATTACAATCATACTATTTCTTTTCTCAAAGTATTTTCTCTTTATTGTTCAAAGACACAGAATAAACTGAATATTTAATTATAGCCAAGGTATCTTACAGTTCATAAGGGTGTAAGAAAAATCACAAGCAACACTGATTTCTACTTCAAGAGTAGGGAAAAAAACTGATTGCTACTTTGTTTTTTTTTACAAATTGTTCACCCAATACAAGGCCCAAAAAAGCCACTCAAGGTAGAGGGATTACTGAATGAGGTCGTTGTATGAATGTAAGAGAAAGAGGTAAGAAATGCAGATTATGAGGATATGTAGGAAAGATAACACTTGACCCTTGACTTGAAGAGGTTAAGATAGTTTGAAGGAAAGACAGACCTGAACAGAATGACTTTGATGGTTTTGGGAAAGATGTTATTAGAAGCCATGTATTGAAAAAACTTGGTTGAGAATTTTCAGAAGTGAAAGCAGAAATTGAAGAATTGAGTTTTATTTATGAAAACGTGTCTCATGGTGACCAGACAGTAGAAAGAGTCAATTAAATTATAATACTTTGTAATTTTGAAGACAAAGGCAAAATCAAGAAACTGATTTATGCCTACCTGCCAAAGAGTGATAAAAACAGACATTAAAACAAGAAGAAAAAATTAATCAAATGAAATTTAAGGTGTTGGAATCTGTTTATATTAAGTCATCCCAGCAAGAGTGGTTGTTAAATGTAATTAGCCTTTGTTACATATTTATTATATATTTGGCCATTGGTGTTCATTTTAGTCACTATGCACACTTCTCGTCCTTGATTAAGCTTGTTAGATCATTTGTATGGAAGATCAAATAGGAAATAAGTCAACAATTTTGAATTACCTTCTTTGATCATTATTCCTATTAATATAAATTTTTATATATAAAATTATTCAGCAATCTTTAACCTTCGTGCCCACAATAAAACTCTTTGTCAAAAGGATAGTTTTTCTCTTGACTCTGCTATTATTTTAACTACTTTCACACCCTCAGCAATGTTTGTTGTTTTAGAAAGCAATGATTAGAATTTCAATAAAACCTAATCACATGAAAGTAAATTTATACATTTCTTTGAGAATTTACAACAAAATATTAAATACTATAAAATAATAAAAACTATTAAATATTAAACACTATTTATTTATTTATTGGATTGTTTATTTATGCAAATAATTTTATATTTACAACACTCTAATAATACAAGCCCAAAAACTTCAAATCAACTAATACAATGCAATGTTTATCATTTATCAATTTCAAAAAAAATAAATATTTGATATTTTTATAAAAAAAATTTTAATAAAAAGATTTCTTTTCACATTTATTTCTTTATAAAATGGTAAATAATAAATCTTTATAAAAGATAAATAATAAATATTACATTGTACTTGGTTCACATATTTTTATAATCTTGTAAATAAATATTACCGAAGCAGTGAAGGTAGTACAAAATAACAGCGGTGTCAAGGGAAAAAACAGTTTTTTGGCACACCGGTTTTTACAGGTTGTTTGACAAATATTCATGGTAAATTTCATAAAGGCCTATAAAATAAAATTACTTCCCTAACTTAATAATTACAAGATTAATGATTAAAATATAAACGAAACCAGTTTCTGCATTTTGGTAGTTTTTTTATCTTTCGCATTGACTTTTTAAATTTGAGTCAGTTCTTTTCTTTAATTTTTAAATCAAAATGGGGTGTCGTTGGAGTTAATTTCTAATAGTCGAATACACCTTTTCTGTGTTTAGGTTTTTTTCGCTATATTTTTAATTTTAAAGGAAGCGGGAGTAATATTTTTCCAAAGTTCTGTTTTTAATTATAGATAACTCTAATTAAGTTAAGTTAATTAATTAAGATAATTCTTAATGTTACTAATAATTTCCTTTGAAATAAATCTCTATTTTTAAGAAATTTTTAAAATGTTCTGAATTTTGTCTTTTTTATTTTTCAGTTTTCGATTGTAAATTAGGCCGCCTAATTTACAATCGAACATTGTATTTTTTCAAATATTGTCACGCCTAAGGGCTGACAATATTTGAAAAATGTCTTAAAAACAAGTGAAATACGTAAAAAAAAAATTTTAATTACCTTTAAGCTATTATATTTCAATTAAAACCAAACTTTAAAAAAAAGATCAAATTTCATAAAATTATTTATTTTAAAATAAATGCGTTTTTATTTTTTATGTTTTTTTTAGTTTCTTTTTTAGCCCATATTTTGGCAGTACCTATTTCTGTCTTCTGTTGAATCGGAAGATTTCGTTTTCATGTGAATCAGAATACAGGCTGTGTACATTTTGTCCCCAAAAGGTAGGACTGGAAAGAAAAAGAATTCTCGATTAGTGTGAATCACTTTTTTTTCGCCAGACTTGCAAATTGTAAACATTACTCATGTCAGTTAAATTTTTACAAAAGCTTTGGAACTCTCTTGTGTATGGAGAGAAATTTTGTTTATTGTTGTGCTTATCAACCGTTTTAAAAAGTATTTCACGATGAACCTCTCCTTCACAGAAAAGTCTTCCTCCAGGTATAATCCAAACAGTTTGAAATTATTTTGCATAACAAAACTTTTATCATAAGCCAGTTGAATGTTCATTTTTCATAAAAAATGTATAACCACTTTTGTCTTATTTTTAGACTAAGTATCATTCTTTTAGTTTTAACCAATTAACAAGAGTTCAGAAATGTTTGTAGTGTTTCTACCTACAAAAACAAAAAAACTTTTTCTTTTTTTTTTTTTTAAAACTTTATGTATGAACTCTCAGAACTCAGTTAACTTTTTGATAGGAATTTTTACATTTTCTGCCGTGTTCACCGTTAATTTTTTTTTTTTTTGTTTGTTTTTAGTGTACAAAAAAAAATTTTACTAACGATTTTTAAATCATTCTTTTCTTTTTCTTGTACCTTCAGCGAAAAGATGTCCAAATTTATTCAAGAACGTCTTTCGCATGTGGAAAAGAATTTTGGGGCTTTATGTGCTACTTTCAGTTCCTACGCTAGAAAAACTGCAAAAATTAGAGATAAAGGTGCTACTTTTCTTTCTTTTTCTTTTACTGTGATTTTTTTTCTCGTTTATCACGAAGTTTGAAAATATGAATCTAAAACTTTTTTTTTCTCACATCTCTCGTTTTTTGTCTTTATTCTTAAAACCAAAAGACTTTAAAGCTTTAATTAAAATATCACTTCAAGAGTCATGTAAATCGGCTTTCCAAATGAATTGTTAACTTAAAGTATTAAAAAAAAAAGTATTTTATTTAAATTACAAATATCAATTTTAAGTTTTTTTTTTTTTTTTTTTTTTTTTTTACATACACGACAAAATGAAAATATTTTGGCTGAATTTTACAAAGAAAAACCTCAATTCAAATCAAAACACAGTTCGAAAATCTGTTCTTTTTATGTTGGTAACTGAACATTATTTCTGACTTGTGTGCAAAAATTCCTAGCGCTTCTGTTTTGAAAAATAAAAACAAAACATTGTGCGGAAATTTTACACTACTTTTTTTTTTTTTTATAAAAGAAAATCAGTTTGATCGTTCCAATAATAAATGTAATGAATGAATTTCTTCTTCGAAGATTGTTTTCAAATTTTTGCTGACAGTGTATTTATTTTCTGAATCTAATTTTGGGTATTGGAGATTAGACATTCTATAAACAATAAGGTCGGTGGGAACTTTTTTTCTTTTTTTTCGATCGTTCGTTTCTTTTTCAGTTCATATGAATCGAGTTTGAATGAGCACATTAACCACTTGTTAACCAATTTGTTGTACAAAAAAATAAAACAATTTTCACTTTCCAGTCACTAGTGTTTAGTGTTTTAAGACGTCGTTTTACTTAGACTCTCCAATAACTGACAGCAACGTAATTAATACGGAGCATACTAGTTTGGTCCCTGTCTCTTCATTCATAGCAGGATGATCAAATTTCAAATCAAAATTGTTTAAATGGAGGATCAATCAATAAGCGACCGTGCAAATTTTTAAAAAACCTTTTTAACGTGATAAAATTATTTTTTGAAAAGGGTCAGGCTAAAAATTTAAAACCAAAAAATTTAACTTCAAAGTCAAAGGAAAGAGACATAATTGAAATGCATATTTGTTTACTTATTTTTTTTTTTTTTTAGCAAATACCTAGTAATTAAAAACTCACTAATAAATGTAGTATAAATCATTTTACTACATTTATTAGTGAGTTTTTAATTACTAGGTATTTGCTAAAAAAAAAAGTTTTTTGTCTATTTACCCATTCTATGGGTAAATCGTAAATAGACGAAAAATGAAAACAACAAATTTAAAAATCCACTTTATCCTAGAGATTTCTTTCAAAGTAAAATGTAGGAATTTTTAACTAACTGAATTTTTATTTTTTTATATATATATATATATATATATAAGGCGAAAATAACGTTTACAATAGAACGTGAAATGTCATCAAGGTCATAGGCCAACAATAGTATCCTCCACTGTCACTGCCATCTTAGTAAAAAAAAAAAAAATTCCTAAAATTTAAATAAGTATGGAGGACCAAAACTACTACAATTTAGAAATTAATATTGTTTTTAGTTTTAAATTCTTTACCCTTAGGTAGCTCAAAAAAAATTGCTAAAAAATAGGATACATGACGAAAACAAAATGCCCCAAAAACGCAATAAAAACAAAATTTTATCAAAATTGTTATTATTAAGAGGAGGAAAGATCAAAGGATGATTTGATGTAAAATTATTTTATCATTTTTAGAACCTTGGAAATTTTTGTTAAAACTTTTTTGCGTCAACGCAGTTTTAAATTTTGTACTGGAAATTTGAGGACTTTTTTTTGTGATGAAATACACATTGATTTGGAAATTCTTGCAAAAATCAGATAATTGCTGGATTTTAATGAAACCCTCTAGAAATGAATGAAATTATTTTTTAAACGTTTCTTTTCTAAAAAATTTTGTAAAAAAAAAAAATGTATTTTTATGAAATTTTGAGAGATTTTTTTTTTTTTTTAAATTGCCTAATGCTTATATTTGTTAGGGACAAGTCCTCTGAGAATTTAAATCATTAAATTTTAAATTTTGTGGGATTAAACCGGACCCCCAGTTATAGAAAATTTGCCCTGAATCATAAAATAAAAAAAATACAAAACTAGACATTTTAGCTTTTCTGCTTTTTATGAATATTATGAACACTATTTTCTTAAAACCATTTTTTTATGAATAATGAATTTTTTACAAGAATTGGTTTCACGTATTCTAAATTTTAATTAGAAAAATTTGATAGCCAAGTGGTGATGTTAGATTAAAATGTATTTACTAAACCTCACTACAAATCGACATATTTTAAAAAGAATTTTGAATTTTTTTGTGTGTGTGTACAAACATGTCAATTTTTGTAAATAAAGATGTTCATATACTGCATTATCAGAAAATAAGAGGTACTTACAAACAAATTTAATATTTATTGGTAATTTTGTAATGTTTTCTCAAGAACTATCTTCATAAGTAAGCCTAAAATTCAATAAAATAAAATTCAATAAAGTAATAGTTTGCTTAGAATATTTAAAATTTTTAAGATTACTGGTTAGTTAAAACTAAATAAATAAATAAAATTGGTGTTTATATTGTATTCGAGCATTTTTATTTTTTTCTGTTAGGTCCCACTTATTTAAATTTTCCAAAGATGAAACTGTCAATAAATTACTAAGCACATCGAAGACCAACCACCCCTTCCATGTTAAAAAATGTTTTCTGCAATATTTTAAATTAAAAGTAATATTTGTTTCAATTAATTAAACTTTAAATCCTTTAATAACATTTTAGAAAAGTAATTTTATTTTTGAAAGATTTTTAAAAAGGAGAATTTTATTGGGTTGACAGATCTGTTAATATGGATGAATTTATAGTTTTTTACTGATAGGAGGAAAAAAAAGATTCCGATCAATTTAAATTCGGTTTGAAATGCACTAAAGTACTTTGCTTATTGGAAATATTAAATTTAATCTATTAGCTTGGAATTAAAACTAAAGTTAAAGCTTCAAGAAAGATTTTCATTTTTTTTTTTTTATAATGCATTTTATAATTCAGTATTATTTTTTTTAAAACCTAACCAAATATTAGAATATTTTTTAATATCTTTTTATTTGAGGCAAGAACTTTTCAACATTCTATCTTAGTTGTAGCAGTGATTAGAAAAGATTGGTTTGGAAGTATGTGGTCAGTTAATTATATTGATTATCACTTTGAGAAGAGTCCTTAATGAATCCAATATTTGCTGTTATTTAAAACAGCTTTTTAGTTGATTCATTCTTCAACCCTCATTTGGATTATTCCATGAAAAAAAAAAAAGGTAACAGAGAGTATTGTTAGGAAGTGAGACAGTTAAAGAAGACATTATGATATTAGGCTCATATAAATTTCAACACAATTTTTTCTTTTTTTTTTTTCTTTTTTTTTTTTGCTTAGCAAAGTGGGTTTTGGGTAACATTTGGAATAGCCTCTTTGGTCTACCTATTCCTGCTGAAATGGATCAATCCAGTTGGTATATCAATGACCATTTTTATTTTCCTTTTTTTTTTTTTCCCTTAAAATATTAAATACCCTTGGCTGAAGAATGACCTAGTCAGTATTTCTTACATTTTCATTAGATTTGGGAAACTTTTTAGTTACAAGTTGTTTGCAGGACTCCATTTTGTTATCTATTTAAATCTTGTATTAAATGCAAGGTTTTGAGCACAACACAATACAAATATGTGTAGATTCACTTTTTTAAAATGGCTATGTGCCACAGGACAAGTAAATAGATTCAGAATGGGAGAGAACCAATTTCTTATTGATATACATCTCGACTACTTTAGTCTACATTACAGAGAAATCAAAATGACCTGCACACTAAAGAACTATAAAAATAATTCAAGTCTAGATTCAAGGAATTATGCAGTTTCTAAAATCAAGAAATCTAAAATGCAACAATTTTAATAAATTGACTGTAGTTAATACAGTTGGGTCAGATTATATGTATGAAATTTCAAATTAAAAAAAAAAACACAGCAATAATGACAAACAATTTACATCTCTTCAAGATTATTTGACATGCACACTTTTTAACATCACTTTGTGGAAAATAAGTCACTAGGTTTTATTGCCAAGAGCAGACCTGAACAAAACACATGTAATTGTGTATATATAATTACTTATTTTCAGAGCTGAAGAAAAAATAATTAAATACTTATGTCAAGATCTCTGCTTTCCCCAAATTTCATGTTATCAAAAATTAGAAATATCTCTTCTGTCATGAATAGCTTATACTTCTAACATAGGTACCTCCACGAGATCGCTAAAAAAAGAGCATAGCATGATGAAAAAGACGCCAAACTTGACGAAAACAAAATTTTATCGTCTAAATGTTTGTTATTATTAAGAGGAAAGGTCAAAGTATTTTTGGGGTATTTTTTTCCATTTTTTAATCGTTCCTAGCACGTCCGAAATTTTCGTTAAAAATCTAGTTTTTTTGAGTCAGCAAAATTGACCATTTTTTTTTTTTCCATTTTAAAAAAAACTGGAAATCTGATTTTGAAATTTTTTTTTAAATATCAATTATCATTTTTTCAAAACTTATTTTAAGAAAATCAGAAATTATAATGTTTATTTAAAATATTTTTAACCAAACTTAACTTAGCGAAAAACCAAATTTAAAAAGTTAATTAATTTATAGGTACCTTTCTTATGAAATTTTATCAGAATTGTACATAAAATACTATAATTTTATGTACATTTATTACATTCTACTGTTATTTGCATTCATTTTATTATTAATTTTGATATTTCATTTATGGAAAAATGTCGTAACTGAGATTAATATAAAAATAACATCATATAAATTTCATAAGATGATACTGATACTTGTAGGTACCCTTCTCAGTTGAAATTGAAAAATCAAATTAACTTCTCCACATGTTTCGCAAAAGTAAAGGCCTTAACAGCAGAGAACAATGCTTAACTCAAATAACGCAACTTAATTATATTCTGGTTGGTCTTCCGTATTTTATAATTACAGCTCGATTATAAGCACAAAATTACATTTCTTAATTACTGGGGATATTCTGATTAGTCAAAATGATACAATTTACAACGCGCTAAAAAAAAGATCTATCTCATAAGGACACTTATGAAAGCCGATCTGCTTTTTAACTAATTTTATAATATTTTAACAACTTAAATGTAAAATCTATTATAATTAATGAAATAACAAATAATTGTATTAAAAATTCATTTTTCATCGAAAATTTTTTTGCTTTCAGAAAATATTGTCCATATTCATAAAAACAACTAAAAGCAAATAAAAGCATTTGAAATTAAATAATATCTTTGTTTTATTGAGTTTTGTATGTTACAATTCAGAGCTGATTTTTCAGGTACTGCGTATCCAATTAAAAAAAAAAAAAAACATTATTTGCATTCCTCAAAGACCTGTGCTTGTAATTATTGTAATCACTAAAACCGATGCGATCGAATTTCTAGCGTTTTCATAAAATTAGTTGGGGGGGTAATAAATATTTTTAAAAAATATTTCTACCATGACTTTCATAAAAAAACATATTTATAATAATTTTGATCATCTGTGAATAGTTCCTGAAAGTTTCATTAACATCCGATAATTATTTCTATTTTTGCACAATTTTTCAAATTAATGTGTCTCATACCAAAAAAAAACGTGCTAAAAATTGTCTATGTTATTTACTAGTTCCGCTGATACAAATAGAAAAAAAGTTTTTTAATCAAAATTTAGAATGTTCTAAAAGAAGGAAAATTTTTAAAAATAATTAAAAAAAAAACTTTGGTCTTTCCTCTTAATAATAACATAAGCATTTAGACAATAAAATTTAGTTTTCGGCAAGGTTGGCGTTTTTTCATCAAGCTATGCTTTTTTTAGCGATTTCGTGGAGGTACCTATTCTAACACATGTCTTTAAGCTAAAAGATTTTGATTTTTGAAATAAACCAGCTTGTAAAATTATAGATTTTATATATTAGCATTTTCACTGCTTTCATTGTTATAGAATTGTTGCATGGCTGTACTGGCCCCTTTTGGGAAAAATAGGAAATTGTCATTTACTGAAAAGAAATGAATAAAAAATGCTAACGAAAATTTCTCCTGAGTACTACCATTTTAGCTTCATTTGGATACTATGCAGTCCAAACTAAGCTAAACAATGCTCCAACACACAATATAATAAAAATACACCCCCATAACAAGTCATATTGTATGCTAATGTTTTGAAATAGCACTAAGCACAAGTTATATTATGTCTTAAATATATATATATATATATATATATATATATATATATATATATAATGTGCATATAGCAGGCAGTGTAAGTTTTTGAAAAAAAATATGTAAGTATTAAATGCACTTATGGTAAATATTTAAAAGTAAAAAAAAAATTGAATTTTTTATTAGTAACCAGCTTTACTTTTTAGTGGCCCTAGTAATTGAGTGAGGAAAGTTCTTTCTGCCAATTATTTTAAATGTCCCTTGATATGTAAGGAACATTTAATGATGGCAGAATAAATTTATTGCATTCTTCTTATGGGCAGGTGATGAACTCTCAAAACAGATTTCCAGTTATGTTGAGACTGAAGTTTTAAATCCTTCATCAAAAGAACAATTGACTTTATTTGCTGAAACTTTATCAACTATTCAAGACTACAGACAAGCACAGGTGAATGTGAAATGTTTTCCTTCCATTTTTGACTTTAAATCTCTCTTTATAAACTAGAATATGCAGAATGTTTTCTAGTATTAATAAAATACTCAGTGTTTTTTTGTTTTTTTTTTTTTATCATAATTATTGACCATTTCTGTTATCTATCAAATGTTGCAGTTTTTTTCTTTTTAGAGATCTCCAATGAAATAGTTATTTTAGTCTCTGGCAACATATTGTTAAAATGTACAAGAACCAATTATACATATTTTCTTTATATTTACTAGCAGGAAACTATTTAGTGCTAACATCATTCCTAACTTTTATTACAGTATATTGTTATATTTTTTGTTAATCTGTTTTTGTGATAAATTTGTCTATTAAACTTGGTATGCCTCTAAAGGAAAATATATAATATTTAGTATTATCTGCACTTTCAGATATCTACTGGGGGTGTTCTTGGAATATATCCACACCCCACAGATAAGAGGTGACAGAAGGGCCATTGTAATATTTTTAGTTTGTTAACACGGAAAAATATCTACCTACAAGCAACTTACAGAAAAAATGAAGAGTGAAACACTTTCTTTTTATTAAGAGATTTGTCTAGTTTTAAAAAGAAATTGTTATAAATGCTGTTCTTGTTGATAAAATGATTTTTAGTTTGGTTATTTTTTTCTCTTGAAAAACTTGTAAATCAATACAAATAAAAAATGTTGAAATACCAATTGTAAACTTGAATTAAATTATAATCTTAGGATTAAAATTCATAGCATGGCATTTTTATCTAATTGTAATATCAATGGATTTATTTAAGTGATTTTAAAAATTGATAATGATGAAAGTTACTTTAGGTTCCTTAAAACCTTTTCTTTTTTGAGTAATTCTTTTATTTTACTTACCTATATTACTAAGTGGATTACTGATGCTTACCAGTAATGTAATTGTATAAAAGAAAAAATAAGTTCAATTTGTATCAATTAAAAATGTATCCATGATAGTAACTCATGAGTCTTTTTGCAGAGAAAAAGGTTTGAAGCCATGGTAATATACACAAAAATTACACTATTTAAATTTTTATTGAAAAAATACTTGATCTTTTGCTTAATGAATTCTCAATATTTTAGGTTCAACGCCTCGATGCCAATGTAATCAAACATTTTGCATCTTATGGGTTAAAATGTAAAAATAAAAAGGTAAGAATTTTTGTATCTATTAAATGACATTAGTATTTTTATTTACTCAATCTGTTTTTGAGAAGAAGCATTTATTAATAAATGTTTAAAATATAAACAATTATTAATAAATTAAAATATAATTTGTTCATTGTTTATCTTTCAATTTAACAATGCTTATTTAATAAGTTAATCAAACAGTTGTCAGCTTTTTAACTTGTCAATAATGATTTCTGTTTTAATTTATTAAAGTGTTCCAATATTTTTCTTTTTGTCCCACCATTTTGTCATTTATAGTGTCTATCTTTTCTATTGTCAATTAGTGTCAGTCATTCCACTGTCCTTGAGTGAAAGTGTCTATCTTTCCTAATATTTTCACTTAAATTCTTTCCTTTAGATTTGTAAAATCATATTCAAAATCAAATAATGCATATCTTCATGATATGAGAGTGAGGATTTGAATTATAATTAATAATTACTGAATTTGTTGATGTCAAATAAATGATTTCTTCATGAAACTTTTTTCTATCATTGACATTATTGTTCAGTTTTGTTTTTCCTTTCAATCTCTTTTAATAGTAATTTCAAATTTAATATTTTCTCAAAAATAACTGTAAAAGAAAACTATTTACCTACTTCACTCCCTAATTTTTTCATTCTTCTAGAATGAGCTGAGGGCTTCATTTGGAGCACAACAACTTGAAGAGAGAAAAAAACAAGACCTCAACAAACTAATGCATAAAAATCCATCCAGTCAATTTCAGATTGTATCCTCCAAGGCAATAAGAAATTTTTTTTTTTTTTAAATACATTTACTTAGAAATAGATTTGCTTCCTTTCACAATGGCATTGATCAATTTATTTCACTTTTACTTTATAAGAATGTTCATTTTTCTTTTTATTTGGATAAATTTCATTCAGCTCTCTAACACATGTATGTCGCTTTTATCAAAATAATAAGTAAATTTGTAACATGCATGTCAAGTCAACAGACTTAAGATTGAATTATAAAAACTAATTTCCATTTTACAAATTTTATTTAAATTAGATTTAATCCAGTTTTGTAACCTCAGATGTGTTCTTTTTAAAGATATTTTTTAAAGTTTTATTGACTCATTTTTGTGTAAAGATTTTAAAATAAGCTGAACTTTAAAATTCTTAAAAATTGTCTTGATTAAAGAATTGATGAGTACATTAAATCATTTCTGCACAGACTGCAATATTCTTAGGCAATCAATTATAAAAACTGAAGTGTCATACATTTTCAAGCTATATTGTCAAAAACAGCGGCTGCCATATGAGAGAAGTTTATGCTGTGGTGTTGTCTGTCAGATGTACAATCTTTTGTGGAAAAGTTAAAGAAAGAAAAAAAAATCTCCTCTTTGAAGATTATCTCCAAATCTTTAAGGTTTGTTGGTTGTTGTCATGCTGGAACACCTATCCACAACCCATCTTCAGTGTCCTGGCTGAGGGAAGGAGGTTTTCACTCAAGATTTCCCTGTACTTGGCCCCATCCATCTTTCCCTTGACCTGGTGTAGTCATCCTGTCCCCTTAGCAGAAAAACAGCCCCAAAGCATAATATTTCCACCACCATGCTTAATGGTTGGGATGGTGTTCTTGGGGTCCAAGTCAACTTTTTTTTTTCCTCTAAACATGGTGAGTCGAGGTGATGCCAAAAAGCTCAATTTTAGTCTTGTCTGACCACAGCACTTTCTCCCAACCCTCCTCTGAATCATCCAGGTGCTCATTTGCAAACTTCTGATGGGCCTTTACATGTGCCTTCTTGAGCAGGGGGACCTTGAAGGCACTACATGATTTCAGTCCACTTCAATGTAGTGTGTTACTAATGGTCATCTTGGTGACTGTGGTCCCAGCTGCCTTGAGATCATCAAGCTCTTGCCACTTAGTTCTGAGTTGTTTCCTCACCTTTCTCATCATCAGGTTCATTCTGTTAGGAGATCTTGCATGGAGCTCCAGACCAAGGGAGATTGATAGTCAATTGGCGTTTCTTCCATTTCCTTATCGCACCAACAGTTGACTCCTCACCTAGCTGCTTGCCAATCATCTTGTAGCTCATTCCAGTCTTGTGCAGGTATACAGTTTTGTCCTTTCTTTCGTCTTCCCCACTGTGGAGAGATTAGATTCTGATTTATTGAAGGATTCTGATAACTAGTGTCTTTTATACAGGTAATGAGTACTTGATTAGGAGTAATAATTGAGTAATAGGACTAGTCTATATGCCTCCTGATCATATAACTGGCCTATGGGGCCTGAATCATTGCTGGTTGGTGTAGGGGGGGGGTGACATATTTATTTTTTTCAATAAAAAAGAAATAAATTAGAATTTTTTTTATATTCTATCTCTCACTTTCAAGATGGACCTACCCTGAAAATTATAGACCGTTCCTATTTTTGTAAGGTGGCAAACTCAGAAAATCAGCAGGAGATGAAATACTTATTTTCCCCACTGTATATGGACCTGAAAACAGGAAAATAAAATAACAATGTAAATTAAAAGCAAATTTTCTTATACAAAGAGTTGCTAAAATATTTTTGGCCTGACGAAGAAAGAATTAAAAAAAAAAAGATTCCAATATTTGATCAGATTTTGGGAAGGAGGTTAAACTGAAAACTTTTCAGCACTTCCTCATAAGAGAAGAATGTATACTCTATTAAACAACATTGAGCAAGTTATTCCATTACCAATTTAAGAAGAAAAATCATGTTACTGAAACAAAGTGTATAGATTAGTCATCTGTTGATCATCTTTCAAAAAGATTAAAGAAAAAAGTGGGGGGTGTTTCTGTAAATAGATGTGAGAAGTTCCTTCCTCAAGATGAGAAAATATAACTCAGTCTTCATCAAAACATCTGATGTAATATCATTGGTTGTCTGCCTGAAAAGAAACTACTTGCATGTGCGATTCTTCTGTGTACCATGACCCTTTGGGACGTAGGTGATCATGGCTCTCCACAATTTCCTGTCCTTTGTAGCTCTTAATAAATTGTTATCTCTTCTCAATCCTGTTCCGCCTTCATTTACTGAAGCTCACTAAGTCGGTTATGCATTGTTTTCCTCTGTCCATCTTGCCTTCAATCTATCTTGTGAGTATCAAATTTTCCAAGCTCTCTTTCCTCATTATGTGCCCTAGAAATTTCAACTGTCTCTTTCCTGTTGTTAAGTATAAGAGTCTTTTTTGTTTCTATTTTCTCTAAAACTTCGTTGTTCCTCACATGTTCAGCCCATGGTATTCTCAGCATCCTTCTGTAGAACCACATTTCTTTTGTTCCAAGTGTCTTCTTTATCAGTGATGAGATTTTCCAGCATTTGTTACCATAGAGGAGGACAGATATTACATAACAGTTCAGTACTCTTATACTTGTTAACTACTTGTTAACTAATGGTAACTTGTTCAATTGTCTTACTTGTGCCATTGTTCCATTTTCCTGCTTTCCCTTGAATTAGAGGACTAAATCATTCTCCTTCTCTACAATTAAGCTATATCTTACTGACACTATGAGCCCCCCCCCCAAAAAAAATTGGTTTTATTTAAGGACAATAGAGAGCAAGTTCAGAGATTTCTATGAAATTTGTTTTATCTTAAAACGCTTAAAGAAAAATAAATTGGTTTAAAAAAAAAAATGGAAGATGAAAATAGTATGTTTTGAAGTCACATAATTGTCATTTTACTGTTTTATACTAGTGTGTCACCCCATACAACCAGCTCAACACACAGTCAAATGATGTTCTCAGAATCAAAAGTTTCAAGTTTTTTTTTTAGTGGCTGGAAGATAATTTTTGAAGTCTCTGGTTCAAAGTGGCAACCCACTTGAGCAAAAGGGAAGAAAATAATAAAAAAAAAAATAAACCAAAAAGAGAGGCATTTTGTCGATAACCAGATGTTTCTGCTGACATCCCTATATAAGTTGTCTCAGTTAGGTTTCCAACCTTTTTTGCCCATGCCCCACCTAAGCATCTCTTTAAACCCAGAAAATATTTTTAGTTTGTGATAATTTTTATTTATTTATTTTTTTTTTTTGAGATAATAATGATTTAGTAATAAGTCTTATTGATTATCCTATAGCTGGGGAGAGACAAGGTGAATTCATACTTTTCCTCAAGGGTATTTGCATGTAAGTGAATATAACAAGCCCAACAAGAATTGAGATTGCGCTCTAACAATTTCAAGGCATTATCCATTACTCCACCTGTACATCCAAGCTTACAGCGTCTGGTATTACCAAATGGTCACCGATCTAGCTACTGACCAGGCTCGGCATTGCCTATCTTTGGTAATTGTAAGGGATTCAAATTTAAATTAAGATGAAATAAATACTAAACAAAAAGTAATAATCATTATGACATAAGAAATTCAAAGACTTAAGATTTATTATTTTCACTCTGTGTCATATCCCTTCAAGACATAGGTGATCACGACTCTCCACAGCTTCCTTTTTTTGTTGCTTTCAACAGTATTTTCTCCTATCTGACTCCTTGTTTCTCTTTGTTGTCCTTGCTCTATAAACTCAAACATGTTAAGTAGGTTATTTGCTCTTTTCCTCTGCTTCTCTTGCCTTTGGTTTGTCTTGTGTGTGTTAAATTCTCTAAGCATTCTTTCTTCATTATGTGACCCCCCCCCAAAAAAAAAAAACTGCTGTCCCTGTAAGGAATCCAACAGGTACAAAGAAACTTTCTTATTATGAGCAAATTCTTTGTAGTTTTTAGACTCCTTAAATCTTCCTCCTTTCTCACATGCTTCAACCATGGTATTCCCAACGTTCATTGTTAAAAACCAAATTTGTTAAAGTCTTTCCATTGTCTCTGCTGTTATTATTGAAGCCCTTGGTACCTTACTCTGTTTCAAAAAAGTCTTTTGCTATTGCTATGCATCTTTTGAATTCCTGCCAATTTAATTCCGTCATGTTATTATACTACTTGGATGACTTTCCATAATTGTTTAAGTTTTATGTCCCTGATTTGTAACTCACATCTCATGTTGTCCCTTTTGGTCATTACTATACATTTCATTATCTTACAATTAATACTTCGTTGTTTCTTTGACTACCTTGTCCAATAGTTCTTTACCATTTTCCTTCTATCATCGACAAAGTATCCTCTGCATATGTTGCTAAGGTTACATCTGCTGAAAATAAATTCTCGTAGGTTCTTTAATTCTCTTAAAATCCTCTCACACTACTGATTAAATAAATCAAGAAAAATCATTTTCTTGCGGCACTCTCCTTTCTATTTTTCTGTTCTTGCTTAATTGTCTATTTGCATACAAGCCATATGTTCTCAGTAAGGATAGCAGATTTTTTCTTTCTGTGTAGATCAAGCTTTTCTAATATTTCAAACAGCTTTTAATGTTATGCTTTATTGAATGCATTTGTGATATCTATGAAGCAAAGGTATGTCTTTCTACATTTCTATTATTTCTGATGGCATTTTGGATCATGGATGTAAAATTTCTTGTTTCATCATTTTGTATAAAATCATATTTGTTGTTCCTCTCTGTTTCCAGTCAAACTCTGTTCCAAACCCTTTTAATTATTATCTGAAGTATTGGTTCAGACAACTGAAGTTGAGTGTTTGGGGGAACACATATTTGCTAACATTCAGTTTCTTTCATAATGCTATTCAATTTTCACATATTCCAGCACAATTGTATATTTCATTTAACATTTCAATAAGCTTCTCAATGTACATGTATCATCATGATTATCAGCCTGGAAAGTGGAATTGACATACCAAGTTCAAATTCTAAGTTTGTTGTTTTCAATTTTGTACAAATGCTCTTAGGAAAGATATAAACCCATCCCTTCTCTCACCAGCAGAAGATACTGGGCTCTGTATTCAGAACTAGTTGGACACACTAGCAACACCATGTCATAAAAACCTCATTGCCACAGCAGCACCATGAACTTGGTGAGGCTGTGGCACTATACTCCACTCATCTGAAATTAAGATGAAAGAATTACTAATAAAAAAAATTAATTCCTTGACCATGCTTTATCTAAAAGGTTTGATTATTGTTACTTCTTCATTAATCAAGAAAATGCTATGCATGAGATAAAAAATGTTTTATTTAAAGAATAATATCTAACAATCCCCTCCCCCACCAACCTCACATGGCTGGCAGTGTTTGATTTGTAAAAAGATTAAAATTAAAGATAATTTTATATCTGGAAGTAGATAAGTAAAATGTTTTGTAATTTTTGTTTCCATCTTCCTGTTTCTTCTAATGAATGATATTCTAAATCTTTTCATGAACACATTGATATTAACCAAGAGATTATCCCTGGTATGACTATAAACTATATCCACGTCTCGGGTAAGATGATAAACTACATCCAACAGCAAGGCCTCTGATCAGGTTTTGATGAACATGGAACCACCTCTTAATTGCTGGTGTTCCCAGGTCCACCCTGAGCCGGAGTGGTAGCACCTGTTAGGGTCCCAGCTATGGGCAAATAGTTAACCCCGAAACTGAGATAAAAAAACAATTATAAAGGTGTAGAAATGAGTTTTAGTACCAGAAATACTTTGTAAAAATTAAAAAAAAAAAAAAAAAACTATTACCAGCTATACATTTTTGAAAAAATAATATTAACAGAAATATTACCAGGAAAAAAAAATTTGTCGGCATTAAATGACTCATTGAGATTGATATGCCATAAAACAAACCAAACCAAACTAACCAAGAGAAATAATTGCTATTTTTTTTTTTTTTTTAAATCAAAACATTTTGCCTTCTATGTTGAACAAATGAACATGGATTAAGAATAAATGATACATTTTCAGCAGGATTTGATTCTGCATCCTCTATAATTGGATGTTGGTCTGACATAGCCTATTTAGTAAGGCAATGCCTATAAAAGAAGCTAACCAGCAAATTTAATTCAGATTTAGTCATGGCTACATTCACTTCATGATTTTAATAGTAGACGATGCATATTCACATTTCATTGAAAGCTAATTCTTTATTTTCAGTCTTTCTTTAACAGTTCTAAAATGTAAAATCAATTTGAGTGTTGCAAAAAAAAAAATAAGAAAAAAAACTAGCTAAAATCACTAATAATGACTTATGTCTGTTACTACAAGCTACAAAAATAATATGAAAAAATATAAAACAAAAATTAATGATAATGCTTCATTTAAAAAATTTGGATGACTACAGATTACTTTTTCCTTGGTATATATCTTAGGTATTAAATTAAAGCACTCATTTTTATTTGCAATTCTCTTTGAATTTTGAGATTGTTATGCTTTTTTTCCATCCTAAATTAAATTTCTTAACTGCACAGTCAGAGGTTTGGTTATTTTCTTTTTCAGCACAGCATGTTGCAGTTTTGCTTGACACAATGCATCTGCTTTTTTTTTTTTTTTTTTTTTTTTTTTTCTTTTAAGCTGACATAACCTGCCACAAAGAAAACCTATTTTTGACCAAGTATTTCATCAATATTTTCTTTTTTCATCTCCCATTATTTGCAATTATACATTCCTTATTTGGGTTGGGTTTTTTTTTGTTTTTTTTTTTTGTTGTTGTTTATTTTCAATGTAAAAATAAAATCAGATTTTTTAGTTTTTGGAAGATAAACATTTTCACTTTGAATAAAAGCAATCATTGAACTGTTCAGAAATTACTATAAATTTGTGAAACATTTTCTGTCTTAAATTCTGTTTTATAGCTGCATACTTTCCCATGCTTAATAAGTTAGCTGTTTTTCCAAATTTAACTTATGATGACCTCCTGCAACTTAGTTTTTTAATGTTTCATGCTGATCTGCCCCACTTAACTTGTAGAGGGTATTAGTAGTACCAATTTATTTTGAAAACGCCACTCCCAAATAAAAATTTCCAAGAAATTTTTTAATCCACTCTCTCAGTTCTTAGCACACCCACTATTTCCTGACTTACAAGACATGGGAGAGTAAATGCCCTTTAAGTTAAAGAACATCTTTTTAGATAAATTCTGTTTGTTAATGTATTTACTTCCATGGAAATTAAATTAAGAATCATTTTATCCCCCATAAAAGTAAATACAATGTCCACCTTATTGACTCCTTTTCCACAAGTAAGAAAATGTATTTACAGTTTTTAATATTTCTTTGCATCTACAATAACAGGAATATTTTAATTTTTTCTTATCGGTAATTGTAAAGTCATTTATTTGTTTATAAATGTTATTATAATAAAACTATTCATTAATAAATATTTGTTAGGGTTATTAATGTGTTAATATCAACTGTTAAGCATCTATGAGGATGGATCAATGAGTACATAGCCTGATATAAGAACTGAATTTTGATCTGAAATTTTCACTGTATAATGATTGATTTATGTGAATAATTGAGAAGCATCAGATTAAGTGCATAGATAAAGGAAATTTTTGAAATAAATTTTGTAAAAAAAGAAATGAAGACCTCAATCTTGAATTAAATCCATTTGTTCTGAGGAATTTATTGTAAATGGATAATTCTGTAAAAATAGTAAAATTATTTAATGATTGTAATCACATTCCTTGAATTTTGAAAGTAAAAATATTCTTGATGTTAAAATGTCATGAATTTAGACAAAAAGTAAAGATTAGATAGAAAATGAAATTAAAAACACCAGTATATTCAAGAAATAACATTTGTTATGAAATGTAAATTCTGTATTTGGTAAATTTATATCAAAATATAATTAAAATGGTGCTTTTTTTTATCTCTGAAGGCAAAATCTGAATTGGCTAAAGCCAGTGCAGATGCTTCTGTTGCCAGTAAAACATTAGAAAAAGAAATGGATGTTTTTGAGCTGCAAAAATTGACAGACATGAAGGTAAAGAATTTTATCTGTCTTTTGTAAATCTGTTCCTCATCAAAAGTACAATTTATTTTCATATCTTATATTTGTATTGTAAATCCTGGTTTATAATTTTATGAACAAATAAATTAATTACAATGATTTCTCCAACCCACTGATGGCTTAAGTTAACTGTAGACCCTCCTCCACTCCTAGCAAAAAAAAAAAATTGACAAGTTTGGTTTAATATTTGGTCCCAAACACCAGCAATTCTAATATGCCAAATAGTTTTTGGCTTATTTGAATTGCTAACATCATTATGATGAGAAGTGACTCTTTGACATTGTAAGGAAAGAAGAAAAAAAAAATTGTATACTGAGGTTGCTATAGTAACAACAAATCTCACATAAATGTCATTACAGTATATTGTTATAATTGTTCTATTTTATTATTATTTTATTTAATCTCCTATTGTGCCTAATTTAATTAAACTTTATCAAAGTAGGTATGTATAGGAAAAAATGTGCATGTAAGTTTAGTACTTTCCAGTTTCAGACATTTATTCGGGGGTGTTGAAGCAATATTTTCTGTGGATAAATAGGTGACAATTGTATCCATTGAGCAATTGAATAGTTATTAGGAAGGAGTTGTACTCTGAAAATGTTGAAAGTCTGGAGCTATTTCTTCTTCAGTATAATTAATCAGAAGTAAAATTAAATTTGTGTTCATTTGTAGAAATGCCCATAATGGTTAGCAAACATTTGCATATTTAATATTGGTACCTTTAACTTCAAATGAAAATAGGTAAAAAAAAAATAAATAAATAAAATAGTAAAATATTTTTCAAAGTTAATCCATGTAGTGTATTTTGGTTTGTCATTTTTTTTTTTTTCTTCAAAAATATCTCAAGTGAATCCTGCTCTTTTATTTTCCTCTCTCAGCTTCTTTCAATCTCAGTAATTCCCTTTACATCTTAATGGCTTTTATCACTTTGCTTGGGGTGAAATGATTTTTTTTTAAAAAAAAAAGGAATAATCAACATGTATCAAAAGTAATTTAATTTTTAAATCAACTTTTTATTTTAATTTTTTCTAACTTATGTAATATTCTTCATACGGTATCTTTTGAAGATTCTAGTTGTTCTGAAAGTTTTTAAATGCCTATAATTGGGTTGTGTTCTCTGATTTATTGATTATGATGCTTTAAGACATAACTGATGGACATTCACTTCTGGGTTTTATTTTCAAGAGACAAATCACCATTCTTAAAATGCTTGAATCGGTTTTGAGTAGTACAGTCCAAAAATGTTTAATTTCTTTCTATTTCCCAAATTTGTAAGCAGTTTTGAGGCCCAGTCTAAAAATAATGCCTCAAATTTTTTTTATAAGATCTGAAATGAAAGATACAACTTTGAGTATTGATTGTGTTATGATATATTGTTATTTAATCATAGATAATCTTTAGTTGTGTACATGAAATAAGCTTTGGTGTAATGGTGTGATTTTAAAAAAAAAAAAAAAAAAAATTTGTTTTTAATACACTTTAATATACACTCAAAATATTAATTATCCAAGTTAAGAAAAAATTTCCAAAGCTTTTTTATATTTAAGCAATTTTTCTTGCTATAATCTATCTTAAATATTTATAAATCTGTCATTCATTCTTGCTTTGAATATTACTGCCACATCTGGTCTGGTGCACCTACTCTATATTTAGAGGCTCTTGATACAAAGAAGAATCTGCAATGGTCCTGCTCTGGCATCTCGGATTTCAGTCACTTTCTCACCACTGTAACATAGCTTTCCTGTACCTTTTCTATAAATACTTTCATGGTAATTGTTCCAAAGAACTTTCCTATGTAGTACCTAGACTTTATGAATTTTAAGTACATTACTAGATTAGCGGCAAGGTCTTATCATTTTACAGTTAAAATGGCTGCTTGATGTAACTGTAAGTTCTATGCTAAGAGTTCTTTCAATTGCACTTCTCACTTGTGAAACTCTCTTCCGATTTCTTGCTTCCCAGTCAACTTTGATTTTTAAAAATTTAGATGCAATGTCAATTGTTATCTTCTGTCTTAATTTCTGTTTTTTTTTTATTGTTCTCGCTCCTTGTTTTTCCTCATATTCTCAAACACTCAGTAACTCCTTGCATCATAGTGGCTTTATTGCCTTGCTTGGGGTGAAATGATTAAAAAAGAAAACTTAATTTCAAATTTGTACTTAGAGCAAATAAAATGAATAATGAAACTTGATTAAAAAATATATAAATTTTTAATATGGTTTTACTGCTAAGCAAGGAGATACAAAGGAAGTAAATGTCTGTAAGTAATTTGGTGTGGTGTTAAATTTATTTAAATATTATTTATTTATTTATTTTATTTTTTTTTTTTTTTTTTTTTTTTAACAGAAACTGCTGATGAATTTTGTGAATATTGAAATGACATTTCACTGTAAAGCACTAGAGTTATACACACAATGTTACCAAAACCTCTCGGAAATAAATGTTGATAAAGATCTTGAGGTATGAAACCCATTTTTCTACAAAATATTTCCAAAAGGTTATATACTCTCAATAGTGAAAAATGTTGAAAGGGTTTAATCAAAATTAGTTTTTTTTTTTTTTTTTTTTTAAATTACATATTTGTCAGAAAAAAAATAATTGTTAGCTACAATTATTGTAAGTAACAATTCAGTTACACCAAAAAAAACTGTCCTAATGAATTAATGTATATGTGTGTGCACACACACGCATGCATTTGTGAAACAATGCTTTCAGAACTGTTCAGCTGGTGTCTATTTCTGTACTACCAGGCAGTGATTGAACTCACAACTGTATTGATCATAGCAGCCAAATCATTAATTTCAGTAAAAATTGAAGAAAATCTGATACTGTAATAAAATGTTATTGTGACAAGTTATTAAATTTCTCATGTGTTGGATAAAAAGTTGACTGAACCACAAAACTGGCAAGCAATATTCTTTTCTTCACAATGACTCACTTTCTTGAAACTGGTGTGGTTGTGTGGATGGTGTAATGAATAGTGACTTAGTGAGAAATCAGAGCAGAGTTCAAATATCCTTGGAAAAGGTATGAATCCATCTCCTTCCCCCAGCTATGGGTTAAACAATAGGACTTGTATTTGGAAAATCGTTATTCTCAAAAAATCGTTAATGCAGTATTCACTTAACTTACAAAAAAATTCTTACAATCCAAAACCCACACTGTTAAAAAAAAAAAAAAAAAAATCAATCTGAAACAGTCTGTGTGAGTAGCATAACTACGAGTTCAAATTCTGACTGTTGTGTTCCCTTTGCACTAATGCCCTTGGGAAAGACATGAATATGTTTCTTCCCTTTCAAGCATGGTAGCAAAACAACTCAAAATTCAGTACTGAAGGCACTAGAAAAACTACTCTCTTTTGTAAAAGAATTAACTCCTAGCAATTTACAGATATTAAAAGAAAAGAAATTTGTGACAGAACATTGCATTTAAATGTTATTTACTTTTTAAATTCTTTACAAGCAACAATCATTTTTAGATTTTCTTTTATTTAAAAGCTCACATCTGTTACTTTGCAATTCATAAAATGCTACGTTTATCTGACATCTTTTTAGAAAAAAATATGACATTGCTTAAAATGACTTTTTTTTTTTCTTTTTTTTTTTTTTTCAAGGGATTTCGAAAACATATTCACCCACCAATGTCTGCATCACGATTGGAAATAGCTCGTAAAATATCTGCTGGAAATATCACTCCTGTGAAATCTGTTATCAGCCCAAGTAACAGGCAACCCAGTGTTATGGTGAATATAAATATGTATTTTAAATTTATTTTCTATTGCGTGTCTATTTTAGAAAAATCTGATGATAGCTTTTTAAACCCTTTTGTATAATTTCTCTAAACTTTAAATGATCCTTTTGATAAGAGTTGGTAAAACATTGGCTTGTCTCACAGTTGAGATAGTTATGTATTTCCTTAATGATTCTAGTGGCTGATGTTCAAGCCCAGGTAAAATCAAGATTTCCAATGCTGATTTTCTAAATCTTCCAAAGAGCATTGTTAATTTCTGGAGTTCTGCCCTGAAGGAAGCACCATATTATGAATTATTCGTACACCTCAAATAAATCTATTTCAAAGGCAGCATAAAAACACATTTTATAGACACCCCCCACCCCTATCAAACACAGAGGGAGGACTACTCAATCCATTTTTCATCCCAAACAGGGTGCACATCAGCTTTGATTTTTTGATATTCAACTGCCCTAAGCAAACTCCAGAATTAACTTTCTCAAATTTGCAAACTTTAGACAAAATAACTTAGAATCGTGAGACTTTGATATTGCCATCCAACATGTGACCGTACAATATCAAACTGAAAAAAACTAAGAGTTTGTTTACTTGATGTTTAAGTGATTTGCAAATGCAGCAAGCAAACATATACAAATACGTCATAGTACTTGTGCTAAATGGCACTGCATCAACAACAAAAAAAGTAGACATGTGCTGGATGCATGTTTTGTGTTGGGTAAATCACTACTTGATTTGTTTTCTACATTATGGTTGTTAAAATAACTGTTATTAATGAATGTCTATTTTTTTTTTTATTTCAACAAGTGTATTTTCATTTTGTTTGTTATTTAATGAGACATTTATCATCTACATCTGTTTAGAAGAGGACATGTCTACAAATTGATAATGTTATGGTGAATGTCGGAATTGCAAGTCTTAAAACAGCAATTCAGATGGTGACAGCTAAAAATATTTACACATGTATTGCACTTGATATATTTTCTAGATCTGACAAGAAATTCTCACATAATGAAACATCCTGAATTATAAAGAAAATTAATTTCATTTTTATTCCATCAAATGAGATAATTTGTCTTTTCTTTTTGATAAACATGGAACTTTGTGCCCACAAAAAAAAAAAAAAATGAAGTATCAAAAGGATGGTTTTTCCCTTGACACCACTATTATTTTAACTACCTTCACTCTTTGGCAATGTTTATTGTTTTCAAAAGCAATGATTAGAATTTTAACAAAACCTAAACATGATGAAAGTGAATTTATACATTTTCTTTTTTTGTTTTTTGAGAATTTGCAACAAAAAATATTAATCATTATTTATTTATTAGAACATTCTAAAAATTGATACAATTGTATTAAAACTAATGCAATATTTATTTACCAATTTATGAAGCAATATGAAAAATTTTTTATTTATAAGTTCATAAACATTTACTAAATTATGTGAACCAACTGTAAGGAAATTCTTATTAGTTACCATTTTACTTGAATCAATTTTAAGTAAACTATAATAAATAGTGTAAATAAACAATATAATAAATAAATAGTTTTGTTCTTAAGAATAGATAGCAAAAATAATAAAGAAAATGTATAAATTCATTTCTAATCATCACTTTTTTTAAAACAATAGTCAATGGAAAAACTGTCCTTTTGACACTCCATATGGAGTGAAGGCATGAAGGTTCAAGTTTTCCATAATTTCTGTCGTTATTACAGATTTTCATGGTGTTTTTGTAGACCTACACTGAAGATGATGATGACGAAGATGATGATGATGATGATGATGAATATGATGAAGGTAGCAGCAGTAATGACAGTGAAGATCTTAGACCATCAGCTCCCAAAGAAAGTTACCAGAAAAAGTAATGCAACCTCTAAATTGCTAAGTGGATCAAGTTATTTATACATTCAGATATTCTGTACAAGAATTCAATTTTTATGAGAATAAGTAAAAGCTTATATTTACATTTTTTTCAAATAATTTTTCTTCTTGACACTAAAGGTTAAATGTCAATTTTGAAAAGTAAAAATCGCCCAAAACAAACCCATTATCTCAATTCTAACACTTACCTTTATTTATTGTGCTTTGAGAAATCCGGAATTATTTAGGATTAATTTTTTTCCCTATTGCTTGCAAAATTCTGTATGGGTAGAGAGATGAAATCAGTACATACTTCAAATACAGTCAACTTGTATAAAATTTCCTAACATACATTGATTTCTCTTCCTTTACACTCATGAAGTGATATCATTGCAAATAAATTTATATTCTTCAAGTCAGAATTCAAATCAATTGGTATAAGAGTGAACTCAATTCAGTTTAATAGGAAGTAGTTTTTTTTTTTTTTTTTTTAATAATCAGTCTGGGTTCTCTGCAGATTTGGCAGGACTTCTTGAGAAAGATAGTTGCATGGTTTCTTGTTAGCTATCATGCCATGTTGTTTAACTCATGGCTGGGGTTGCAGGGAGATAGATTCACAACATTTGTGTACAAGTAAACACAACAGATTAGGCAGGGATTTGAACCTGGTTCACCAATTCCACTTTCTGTGCTGATAACCATTAGGCTAATTGCACATTCATTAGGAAGTTAAAAATGAATTCTGAAAATTCATTTATTTTTATTTTTTTTTTATTTTTTTTTTGCATTATTATCAAACAAGTTAAGATTTAAATCCACAATTGGTATAAAACTTAGCTTTGTTACATTTTGAGGTCTTCTGTTACAAAAATTTATCAATACCAACAAAAAATTTAATCAAGCTCACATATTCATTAAAGTTGTATTTTGTATTGACTGAACCAATTTCTTGTTTAGAGAACTGTAAATTAAAAATCCTACAAAAAGAGAAGCATTCAAGTAATTATTTACCCGCTGCAAGATGTGGCACAAGGCCAGAAGCATTCAAGTAACAAAATAGAGCTTATCCTGTATCTCATATACTATTCAGCAAATATTTTTTACCATTATCCCATCATTCCTATTTCCAGGAATCCTGTTAACCCCAAACTTTACATATAATCAAATATTACCTAGGAATGGAGAAAACCAAGAGATAACTAGATCTTTTTAACAAGAAAAGAAAACAGAACATTAATTTTACTAATAATGAAAGGAACAATGAAACATAGTTTCAAAAGTATTTTTGAGTTCAACAAGAGAATTGCTATTTACATCTTTGTTGTTGCTTTTATAACACCATTTTAATGCTTGGAAACCTCCAGCCTTTATTACTTGTTTGTCGATTTAGGGAATTTCAAAATGAACCTTTCATTTAATCTATGGGGTAAATTGCTGTTAAAATTCATGAACCGATGCTTTTATCTATTGCTGCTTAATTTTTCTCCCAAATAGAATTATTTTTCTTTTTTCTTTTTAATCATTTTTAATATTTTTGTTTTAGTGAATATAAAATAAGTTGTTGCTCAGAGTTGTTGAAAATGGGAGCAGCATTTTGGTGACTTTCAAATGCTTTGACAGCCATAGGCATCCAAAAGGATTGCAAGTTTTCTTATTTATTCAAGCAGATCTCCAGGAACCTTTCTTTCCAGGTCCTTGGGTATTTTTTTTTTTTTTTTCAATGTCAATAAAAGATTCCGTTTGCAGCTTTTGGATCATGACCAGCCAAACATTAAAAAAATATGCTAGTTGCCATTTCTCATCTTTGCTTTCACTGGAAGAAAAAAAAATTCTCCCAAGTTGGGAAAGGCAGAGATATTGTTCTGTTCAACCACTTGATTCCAGTTGACTTCTTTGCAAGTTGACTTCTTTGCAATTGCTTATTCAATGAATTCACATGACCAAAAATGTCAACTAAGTGACATTGCAGAATTTCCCAGCAAGATGTTGTTTTTTTTATATCTTTATTCAACAAAAAAAAAAAAAATCTCAAATTCATTTTTAACATTGCCATCAGTTTTGATTCAGCTTCACTTTTTCTTGTCAAAAAAATAAAAATTACTTGAATGGCAGTTCCACACTTTAGACTATTTGTTCTGGCAAAATCTGGTTACTCTCTTTCTTACACCTGGAAATTTAATTTTACTTCATCCTGGATAATTTGGTAGTATTTTCTGACTGCTGACTTAAGGGATCTAAAATAATTTAAAAGAAAACATTACCGGTTGTTTAGTGTACAGACTCAGGTTTGCTACTAAATTTTGCATTGAATTTCCAAGTTGTCTAAAAGAAAAAAAGTTATCAAAAGTTAACAGTTGCTGCATTTTCAAAATTATCCCCACCCACTGCCAATCTAGCAACCTTGTATATACTTTGGCCAAACTTAAATATTGAAGTGCAAATTTATGAACCTAATTGGAGATATCAACATCAAATACTGACAAAAGATGGAAAAAAAAAAAAAAAATTCTTGTAGAAATTACTTAAAAGCCAAAAATCATGGACCAACAATTCTACTTCATAAAAAATATGAAATAGATTTTAATGGAATTGGTTAAATAAAAAGAATTATTACAATATACATTGTTTTTTGTTTTTGTAGAATGCTGCAAAAATTCCCTTTGTTTGAAAGCATTTTAAAAATATACTGAAGATATTTTTGTTACTCAAGGAAGAGAATAATGGAAAAGAATATATTAAAAACAAAAAAAAAAAGGAAACACAGTAATGAACAGTTATAAAAAAAAAAAAAAAAAATTCTTTATCCAAATGGTTTACTTGACTGTATCTACATCCTATATAATTGGTTACCTGACAAGAAGTTTAGAAAATAAATTAATTTTTAAGTTCAGGTTTTTTTTTTTCTTTCATTTTATAAATGCTTGTATAATGAAACCACGATTAGAAAAAAAATTTAATGCAAATTGATTTTAGCAATTTTTAATCTAATGATTGAACAGAGTTCATAAACAAGAAAGTTTTAAGGAACAAAAAGGACACTCATAAAACCAAAAAGAGACAAGTGAAATTTTGTGGACATATAATAAAGAAGGCTGAGAAAATTTGACACTAACAGGACATATAGAAAACAAAAGGGAAACTGAGTAATCTATCTAATTAGCTTGTGTAAATTGATAGCAGGAATGGGAGGAGATAGTAAAAGGACAAACATTGTGAAGAGCTCTAAATGAAAGGAAGTTGTGGAGATCTACAATTGCAAAGGGACATAGAAATGATGAGCAAATAAAAAAAATGTATAGATTTTTTTTTTTTAAAGACAATAATGAACAGAAAAATATCTAAAAAATACTACCTAAGATATGTAAATGATATTCTCAACTTAGTTAAAAACATAGATGAACTACAAAAAACTTCCAAAAAGAAAAATTCTGTTCTTAAATTCACATATGAACTTAATACATGAAGAAAAGGAATTTTAATGTTGATAGACACTAATACATTTTACTACCTCCTCATATAAAATATTGTTCAGAAAAAACAAACCTTCCTGGAAATGTTTTTAAACATTTTTCTTGAATGGTGAATAACATTTAAAAAGAAAAATACTTCTTTATGATTTAACCTTTAAATAGCAGGCATCATCAATTGATGATATTAGCAACTCATGGGGCTACATAATTTCCTGAAGTATTTGACTGCAAAATAAAAACCTGAAAGAACAAGCCAAAGCCATGTGTCTGCATGCAAACTTCTTGAGAAAAGAGCAGGGGAAAAGACAACTTGGTGCTAAGAATGCACAACTCAGTTTTGCATGAGATGCTTCAAGGAATATCACACTGTTAAAAAAATATAAAATTTCAGAACCAAACATTTGATTTATTTCTTTATTTTTATAAAAAATTTTTACTTTTTTACATAATATTTCATTCTATGATATACAGGAAATTAAAACTTGGCCCAAGGGAGGCAACTCACATTGTATTTTTTCATTTTTTTTATTTTAATATGCATACCAAATTTTAAAAAGTCAACAAAAATCCAACTAAAATTAAAAATTAAACTGATCACAGCCAACAATGCAAAACAGGACAACCTAAAACTCCCCAAAATAATTGGAGATTACAAACCAGGATACATGTATGGAACTATAAAAACACACAAACCTAACTTCCCTCTTTGTCCCATCATATCCCAATGTCACTCTGGTTTATCAATTAACTGAAATCATTAACCAATTCATTACATGATACATACCTAGTAAATACAGTATTAAATCAACTTATGAACTAATCCAAATTTTAAAAGCACACACACCTAATAATGAAACCATAGCCTCATTGATGTTAAAAGCTTATTTACCAATGTCCCAGTTAGAGAAACGATTAATAATTATAAAGACCATTTACAACAATCCATCCTTCCGTCCGTCCATTAAAAATTAAACCTAATATATTATAAAAACTATTTTTGACTTGAGCTACTGAGGTTCCTTTCTATGACCATCAAAATAATTTTTACATATGTGATGGAGTTTCCATGGGTTCAGTTCTGGAACCAACATTTAGTAACTTCTACATGGCTAATCATGAAAATAAGATACTTAATACCACTAAAAAACCTTCCATCTGCCTAAGACATGTAGATTATATCCTTATCTTAGTTAAAAACATAGATGAAATACTTGAACTACAAGAAAAGTTACTACTGGACCATGTGAACTCAACAAGATCACAATGGAAAGACAATATGACAACAAACTCATCTTCCTGCATCTACTAATATCTCAAACAGAGCATGGGTTTAAGTCATCCATATACTGCAAACCAATATTCACTGAACAATAACTCAACTTCAACTCCCACCACCAATACAGTGGAAAGAAAGGGATTGTACGCTGTTTACAACATCAAGCAAAAGTCATAGATGGCGACCCAAAGACATATAAACAAGAAATGGTCAGTATAAGCAGTACCCTACAATATAACAACTACCCCGCATACATGGC